GAGATCTTGTGGAAGTTGTTGCTGGACGAAATATATCTTAACACTTTTTGGTAACCGAGAAGTCTTCTCACTCCGAAACCCAGTATACAGAGTTAAAGCTTCTCGACAAAATCATCCTAGTCGGATACTGACTTAAGTTTGAAGTTTGATTGCGAAGAGACGTCAACGCGATTGACTATAGATTTAAGAATAGTTCTGACAGCATAGGATAACAATATAAAACTTTGGTTTTATAATTTTTGCGCAATTGGACTCGCAAGGAAATCATAAATTTATAATAATCATTTACAAGACACACATGCAAGAAGGTTGAAACTTCATTCGTACCAAAAACACATCCCAAATCTATGAATTGTTTTCTTTCAGCAAAGAGTCCCTTCATTCTCGTTATTGAATCATGGCTGCCATTTTATTTATCTCCTTTTATACCCCTCACGATTTTCTTCTTTGTTTTGGGGCATTTTTCGAATTTCCCTGAATTATTTGTCCAATTCAAGTTTCGTGTAATATTTAAGAAGCAGATGGATCGATTAAAGTTTTTTTTTTTACCGAGTACTGGAAGTTGATTGAATATGAGACAAATAAATGTTATAATTTCGTTTATCTCATCTAAAGACCTTTCATCAGATAATCAAATTTCCCGGTGAACCAATAACCCCTCATTAATGAAAAAATAGTCAAAATAATATTACTGTACTGGCACTTTCCGTAATCTTGGTGTGCTGGCCTCGATAATGGATCGAATCAGACATAAATTTATGACCTACATCAAAATTGCACAGCTTTCTCTCAAAATACGGTACTTTGACAAATCGGACACGGTTTATTGAGTGCAGACTTAATCGAAAGCTTGAATAATCGAAGTTTCATTTACTTTATACAAAAATGTGTGGCACGCGATTCGAAAAACATCCAAAAACAAACCTTGAGCATAATGCCCCTCTTGAAAAAAAAAATGCTGCTACTTGCTCGTACAAGGAGTGCGTAAGAATAATAAGAGAATAATTTAGTATAGAGAGTAAGAGACTCAGTTGACACTTGTATTCGATTAGACCACACCTTTTTAGACTTTTCCACTCTGACAACATCTTCGATATACCTGACTTTTGGAATCTTTTGATTGAGAGTTCGATTATAAAAGCACGAGCTCCAAGTCTTGAACTTACACTCGAGGTACGCTAAAGACGCGTCGCGATTTCGGAAGAGTCTGATTGGCTCAGGATATTTGGCACGCTTTTCGCACGAATGCGAATCGACGGTGAAGGAGTCTCCAGCCGGAGGTCAACACTATCATCATCCCAGTTTTTTTCAGGAACTCCAGATTTGTACTTCGGTTTCCATGCTTTTAAGATGAAGTTCTTTTTAAAGAATCCTTTACTGCTTACGGGCTGGGCATTGTCTGAAAGCAGAAGGCTTCCATTCCGAATCATTTGCAGCAAATCCGGTGGCTTGGTGCGGTCCGTTGTTGTTTGTCTACGAGGGACCGACGGACAAAATTAATCGCCGCGCATGCAAAGGGCAGCGTATATTGAAGCGGACTTACGAAAGGTTATGAGGGACCTCCTCCATATTCGTCAGGGCACATAGAAAAACCGGGTCCATAGTCTCCGGAATGTTCATAGGATACAAGTCCGTCGGTTCTTCTTCCATGTCTCGCAACCGCTTTTCCATTTGCTGAAAAAAATTGCACGAGTTGGGACAAATATTAGAATCGAAGAGAAACCCGGCGTTCGACGAACCGCCATCTCTATCGATCCCATCGACTTAGTCGACTAGGTGTATGTATCAGGAGAGCAAAGGTTCTCAACTGGTGCTCCGCGGAGCCCTTTAAGGCTCCTCCTCAAGTTTTAAGGAGCTCTAGAAGCCTAGAGATACTCCAAGAAAATAAAAGAAAAGAGGAGACTGAAGCAGAAAGCCAAATAAATGAATTACTGTCGAGCCTTGAAAAGCTGCCACCATTTGTTTGTGAGGCTTGTGGCGGTTTAATAGGGTTAGCGGTTCAAAGAGGGCAGGTGGTTTAAAAAAAAAAACTAAAATGATATGGAATTGAGTCCAATAGAAAATCAAATTCATATCCTTCTAGAAAACAATCAAATTACCTGGAATGCGTAAATTCTATTCAGCTAATGTTCTCAAGAAGTAAATTATATAATCTTCGGCTTTGTGTTCTTCAATTGGAGACCTCTCGCAGAAAGTTGAATATTGTTGGCGGGGGCTATCAAAGGCAGGATTAATTTGCTGAAGCATATTTGAGTTCTCAATAATTTTGGCAGACGGTGGATGGATTTTATCGGGGTTTCCAAAGCTACTATCAATACAGAAGATTTATTTTTCAAAATAAAGCCGAGGTTACCAAGGGTGGCGGCTATAAGAGGCGTAATGACGGATTTTTACGGCAGAATTAATTGACTTTTCTGCACGAATGGAAATACAGTACGTCAAGTAGTAAACGGGCTCCGTCATAAACATTGATATCAAAAATGGCTTTATAAGTCAAGAAGGTTGAGAACTCCCGCACTAGAACTGTCCTCAAGTATGCTATTCATATGTAGTCAAAAGCCGCAACGTGATTTTTGAAAGCCATTTCAGGGAAAAGACTATACAGTACAATACACCACAGGTTATTTTAAAGTTTGTAGGGGGGAGAGGAGGCTTTCAGGTGGATAAAGCAGTCGTTGTATCTGCTCTGAAAAACATTTGTGTAAATTTGAACTGTACGAAGGTGATATGGACTTCAGAAAAATGTATGCAATAAATAAATTACTTTTCCCAGAAATCAGAATTTTCGCTACTGTTTTCTGGCGATATTTCCCATTCTCACTACGTCGAATATGTATGCCGCTCTTTCTAGTCACTGAGTTCTATATTGAAATATCTCAGATATAAGGTACAATAAGCGAGGATTTCCATGGAACTATTCGCGGGATTAACTGCGGCCTACCGTCGCGTAAAAGCGCACGGTATGTTTCAGCGATTACGGTTCGCATCAGATCCCGATTGAGTGTCTCACCTCTTTACAAGGACATGTGGTGACGAGGAGCTTCTGCTTAATTGCGTCTAAAACGTGCGGCGAAGTAGCAAGCAAGAATTCAAAAGACTGTTTGATTTCGGATGTCTTTTGTGATGAGTCCTGCCTCTCAAACGCCTTGACACGCTCGATTCTTGCTGCTCGCGTTTCCCGAAGAGCTGAAAAAGGATGCAAACGAGGCGAGCAAAACTGAGGATGAATGGCCTCTTCGGGATGCATGAAACACTCGTCTCCGGAGAAAGCTTCCGATAACAATGCCTGCAAACGAACAGCAAGCTCCGGGACGCGGGCGGGAGAATATTCCCAGGGGTGGGAATCTTTGGGGGAAATCTTACATGATCAGTAACGCATTGCGGCATAACTACGCGTATTCGCGGATACCTTTATCGCAGTACTTTGCCAGAAAAGAATGAAGGAATTTGGGGAAGACGAGGAAAGTGGGACTCACTCTGCCACATGAGGGCCTCGGCCCTCGGGTCTCGTCCGCAGTCCACGGAAGAGAACCGACGAGTGGACACTGAGTCCACCACGGTGACCAGCAGTTTTCCGACCGACAGAGAATGTCGACCATGCACCTGGACCTCCATTTGTTCATCCAGCTCTTCTATGCAATTCAGGGGTTCGGGATCTAGAGCATTCTCGTCCAAAGAATTCACGCTCTAGAAAGCGGTTCAAAAAGAAATGAATTCAAAAAAGGCTCGAACAAGATTGGAAAGCTATAATATATCGTGATATGAGATGGGAATTATCGAACACACGCTGTTGACATACGGGGCGGATCAGAAACATTTTGATGCATTTTTAAGCCCTACTGTAATCTCTACTGCGTGGCTGTGACATTTTTTCGTTACATCGACGGAAAAGCGGCTCATTGAAGTTTTTTCAATTCTCTTTTAAATAATGTCCAATTCCTTTTTCATTTTTTACTTAAACGGAACTCCACCGGAAAGTCGTGATTCTTGCGACTGAAAGTCGCCAAAATAAATGAAACCTATTTTTAAGCTGTCGTATCCAGAACAACTGGAGTTATTGCGTAGCGAAACGAAAACAAAATTGAAGTTTCATCAATTCTCTTTCTCATGGTGGTCAATTTTGTTCGTTTCCGTTGAATTGGCATGACTAACAATCGGATTTGAAGAAAATGAATTTACCGCGGAGATATTTTATATTTGTTCTTTATCATTATTGCGGTTGACCCGTTCACGTGATGAACAGCGTCGTTAAATGACTCGCCAGCAACCACAGGCACAGTTATGCTCAACTTCAGAGGAAATTTTCAAGATTTACTGTACTGAGAATCATTATATTTTCGTCTAACTTTCTTGACGGGATTGCGAAAACGATACTTCCTTGGTGGTACAAGAGGATTCGGTGCTAGGTCTTGTTCGAGTTCAGATTGCCTTTTTTATGGGAAAAGACGCAACTTTCCGTGATTTTTTTTCATGCTGCTTATTTTACTAATGGTTTCACATGAACAATTCGAAAGACCATTGAATGAGCTTAAATTCTACATTACTCGTCCAGTCATTCAGGAGATACGTACTACACTTTAAAATTTGATTGATTTCCTTATCCGCCATGTACTTCGACAATGTATGCGTTCGTACATTTCCATTTCATCCCACAGTGCATCCGTTTTCAAGTATGGTCTATAAATCAATATAAATACTTCAAACATTTAAATCTGAAGAGTTCGAAAATTTGAATGACCCACGTCAGTTTAGTGGATTCAAGCTGCGTTACGAGCTTCTGTAAAACATTCCGTGTCTTCTGCAAAAACGCAGCGAGGTATGGAATTTTTTCCAGCGAAGAAATTAGTTTATAATGATCCATATACTGCAGAATGCGTATACAGTATATGAAATAAGTGAATGATGCATTAATATAAGATCGCAACCGAGACATGGTAATGAGCGATCGTGGATCAATGTTTAAAATCGCATCAAGTCCAGCCGAGATAACTTGTGCCTGTATTTTTAGGCCCAAGCTGCGGATAAAGGTTGGGTTGAATGTGAATAGAAAATTGAAACCAGGTTCCAACGAAAATACATGTTTATAATTTCAATTACTACTTTATTTCATTTTTACCTGCAAAACGACAGACGGCCTGCGTCCACCGCGGTTGAATTTTCGCTTCACTCCTTTCATTGTCCTCAATAGGTCATGTCTTACTCGAAATTCGCCGATTCAGCCACGGAGTCCTCTTTCAATTCGTATGTTTATCGCGAGTATCCATCGTTAAAAGAGCAGTTATTTCATCATTTACCATGGCTGCAGATCACAATAACACCGGATGAGCACTGCATTCTCGAACATAAAATAATTAACCTCCGGCCGACAAAATATACCAACACGCCATACGTGGGTGTTCTCAGGTGACTGGATTTGCGATTCAGTTCCTATGAAATTCGTACCTTCGCTTCCATTGAACCTTCATTATTTTCTGACGGCGAAATATCTCATGTTAGCTAGCAATAACGCACTCATTAAAATATAAGGTTCAAAATTTTAATTATTGATGATTGCGTAACATAAGCAGCACGCAAGATTAAAGAATTACTGGATTCGGTATTTCGAAATCGATAATATTGTATTTGATGAATCGAGGATGAGGTGAACTCGCGCAAGAATTTGAAGACGGATTTCAATAAAGGTGAGCGATGATTAAAACGTTGCGTGCGAGATTTCAAGTACATATTACCTACAGTATTTATGTTTTAAAATAATTGTTCCTCTCAATACGAGAAACACTTCACAGGAAATTAAGAAACGAGGGCTGATTCAAGAGTTCTGGTATAGGGGCGCATTTGAATACAGTTCTTTGAGCATATAAACTGCGGATACTCGAACCAGCATTGTGAGATCCTCAGCAAAAATTTAAGTACTGCAAGGCTTTCGCTTATTTGTAACGGATTTCCTCGAATTGTCGCTCCGACCTTGGATAAATTTTTACTCACCATAGGACTTTTGGACAGCATCTACATTAAGCATCTCTACGCAAAATTCTCCGAGATCAGAACACTTCTTGGGACGCGGGATTCATATCTTTGGTTTTCTTGGATTTCTCGAATATTTATCAGCCTTTAAAGGCAACTGTTACGATTTAAAATAACATGTAAATGTGCTAGAGAATGATAAAATATTAATGTGCTGAAATTAAGCCCATATCTATCCATCTTCTACAAGAGAAGCGCAAGGTAGGAACAACTTATGAACAACCCCTCATTCAATAGCTTTCAGGAATACGAATTAAATACCTCTCACACATCCACTTCTATCGTTTTGTAATTTTCAGATTCAATGTCACGACTCACGAGTCACGAGTGATATTCAAGTTTATGGACGTTTTCTTCCTTGCCTTCAGTGTATGCAGATCAATTAATTTTCGCATTTAAATTCGCCGCTGTTGGAAAATTTATCGTAAAGTACTTCTGCAATTCAATAGAAGCCCGTGTGAGTCTGAAAAATGATTTCTAATCCGCAGCGGATAGAAATCCCAAAATATACACAAAGCTACTGGATGATTTTGAAGAGCCTGTTTACAGGGCGTCACGAGAACCAACGATAATAGATATTTTTGTGACAACGCGTATCAAGGTAAAATTTTAAGAAAAGGTAGAAGGCAAACAAAAGAGTAAAGAAGCCAGCGGGTGGAAAACATGTGGTAAAATAGAAAGGAGTAGAATTTTGATTATTTTCGGGCTAATGAAGAGTCATTATACAGAACTCCATCATATAATTCGGTCTAATACAGTTCTACATCACGGATAATTCAAAATGTATAAATGATTTATGAAAATTTCAGTTTTACCTCTGAGAGTAACGTACGTCCCAGGTGTTCTCAAACTTTTCTTCGCAAAAAGTTACTAAGTGATGTTCGTGATTCATAGTCGTCCGCCCGTTTTTTTCTCATGAGATTGTACAGAATGCACCATATTTTTTCTTATTCTGTATCATTTTATTCACTGATGGGTGCCATGTTCCTTCCAGTTTTGAAAGAGTTTCCATTTAAAAATCATTAGTCTCAGGAATGCAATGGTTTAATTTAAACTTGTATACGCTTCGTTTTTATGTGATTGATTCGGTGATGGTGGGACAGGGTTGATCGCATTCCGGATAATCGAGGTTATCCTGTTCGCATTTCGACTAGTGTGGCTCAAATCAGCTGGACACGATTATCTTTGCCCAGATTTCAATTCAGTTCGAGTATGCTTCATCATCTCTAACTAGTATGCAGCATTTTCGCGGGATTTAGCATTGTCTGCATTTATTACGCTTAATTCAAGGTTGATTGAGGAAATGTCCGTATTTTATTTCTGCTATGAGCTAATCGCCGGATGCCTGCCCGGAAAATACAATATGAACACATTATCTGGTAATACAGTACAGTACTGTATTTTTAAATTGTATTCAGAGAATAGGTGCGAAATGTCGAGATTGCCATGACTTGGCTGGTATATTCGTAGTCCAAAAATTTCACAGTTTCCGATCATGAAGCGGTTCAAGCAAAAGTTGCCGATGAAAAATTTTTTTCATCCCAATGACGCAACATTTCTGCGAATTTTTGGCTCAAAATGTCGGACATTACCTACGGAATAAGCAGAGTCATATTCTGTAAGGAAAATCTGTCGCGTGTGTCATAGTGGCGAGTGTCAGACGTTAGACGCGTATATACTGTATACAGCCGCCCTTGCCACGGGCGACCACACACTATTATAAGCTCAATCAAAAGTACGGATCTGAGAAGACGAATCCATCGACACCCCCCAAGCCCGGGTTGGGAAAAAGATAATTAAACTCGCTACCGCCAGCGTCTCCTGTCACGCCAACGGGAACGGCGGATGTGTAGATCTTCGCTCATTCGCGGAAATGATCCCAGCGCTCCTCGGGGCCACGATTCCTTATCGACACCACTGGTATTTGTCTCAAGAGTTTGCCCTCATTTCTTCCACGCACTATTTCGAGCCTCGCAATCTCGAAGAAATGAATCGCTCCGCAAAAAAATGAGTCTTGGGCAACCAGCATAGAGGAAGTCCGAGAGGTGTCGGGGGCCAAGCGGGGGCAAAACACATTCAGCTAGTTTTCAACAGCTCGAAAAAAAAGTGGGTTTCATAATCTGATTACGGTTGTTAATTAGCAGAGTTCAACTCCCGGGTGTGTCAACACGGGTCGGCGCTTTTAATTCCGCGGGGCAAACACAGCTATGGCCAGCAACCGCAAAACCGGAAGAGTTTCTCTTGGTGGCGCCGCACTACACTGCGACGCATCCGCGTGTCGGCACTGGGAAAATTAGCATCGTTGAGGCAAACGTTCACTGCGGGGGCCGAAAACGTCGCTGGTTGTCGTCGGACGATAGACGCACAAACAACACAGTCGGAACATGGGAGTGAACAATGCCACCGTTTTAACTTCGCTGCGAAAGCGGACGAAAAAATCAGCACTTTCGTCTGCAGGCGCACAGGCTGAGTCCCATGGGAAAAAAGAAACTTGTCGACGAGCAGGGAAACACTCCACATTTAGCCCAGCGATTCCGATGTCGCTTTGTACGACAAAAAGATGCGATTATCACTGACCCATCCCGGTGACGAAGACGAATCTGCATCTGCTCGACTCTCGCAACGTCACTTCAACGTGGGTCTCTCTTTTTTTATACGAATCGACAGCGATGCCGGGGAATTTAACTGTCGCTGGTCCGCGGCAGGTCGCAGTTCTTTGCCACAACTCTCACGAATGCGGAATGCGATTAAATTCGCTTTTTTTCGCCCCGTTGACGTTGCGAGACTTCAAACCGACGTGGAAATATACTTATTTACCTTCCTTCCCACCGGGCCAAAAATGGATTATTTTAGCAGCAATCGACGCCTGGGTTATCAGCAGTGGCTCCTTATACCCGAGCAAAACGATTTCGATTCCGTTTCATGAATCTTTCATGCCTGGTGCTCTACTGTTCTCGGCAGAGTGAGGCCGGATCCGTGCACATGACAAGTCCAGGCAACGCTTGATCTTGCTCCAAATGAGCGACTTCTCCGATCGGATCGATCTCGTCTCTATAGTGAGGACGCATCACTTTCACGATATCGTGTTATGTGAGTGGATATTTACAGCCTTTGGTCCACTGGCGTGCAAGAGGAAGCATTGGCGCATATATGTTGCTGAGCTAAGGTCAGTCGAAGATTCTTCGAAAATGTCGATACTAACGTGTGGAAGACGCAGGAGTACAAAATTCGAGGACGGACGAAGCAGTCGCAGCACTGATCAAGTGCTGTCGTGCTGTCTGGCATTTTTCAAAGAAATTAATGCGAATAAAGATTCACAAGTTCTGTCAGTCTTGGGCATTCCTTTTATGGAGAATGGATGGAGATTGACGGGCTTTTTGTGATGTAGAATTTTAATATTCACTGACCAATTCTCCAATATTTTCTCACCCTTGCTTGAAATGAAGAAGACAAAACAGCTGAAAGTGAGCCTGTTCAGTGAGAGGAAATGATGCTTCTATGTCAACTCTAGAATGCTCAGCTAATTTGTATATGAGGTCTGGAATGCTGCCGAATAAAACATTGTCTCCAGCAATCATAGATTCCATCCATTACAAGAAGAACCCCATTGAATGATCTTTAAATGACTGATTTAATTCAAGACCCTCCAAAATCCCCTTGACTGAGTAATCAGGAGCTAAATTTAATGGTTGATCCACTTGATTTCTCAATGTTTTTACTAAAATTCTTCAACTAATTGTTGAATAAATATTTGTTCAACATCAGATACTCAAGGTAACAATGATCAGAAACAAAGAAAAGAATTTTCTAGTCCAGCAGTGCTCCCCAACCTTTTCGGGGCTGCAAAATGGCAAATTTACACAAATTATTTGTGGACCACCAAATTTTAAACAACAAAAAATGTCTGCAAACTGGCAAAGTTTTGTAAAATTTCGGCAGACTCAAAAAATTCTTGCTTAAAAGAATTTATGGCAGGTATTTAAAAAGTTTCTATTTTTTGCAAAAATAAAGTTAACCAATGAAGCAGCTAAGATGTGGAATATCTTCCAAAATTAGAAAAGTGGGCTTCAAGAAAGCTTTCTTAGAATGAAAACTTGAAATAATTTATTTCAACTGGGTGAAAATTTGTCTCGAGTGTGACTAGGAGAAAAGCAAACTTTTATTTTTTGTCAGATGCAGTACAGTAATTTCAACTGTCATTGTCTCTTTGAAATTTCAGATGAAGAAAACAGACAGCATTACTACTTTTTTTAAATGTATTATGCAGATAAAATTTCCCGCAGACCAGCAAAAAATTTCTGAGGACCAGCGCTGGTCTGCAGACCAGCAGGGGTTGGGGAACGCTGTAACATTAATCTAGTCAATTCTAGTCGACTATGCTCATACTGTATACACTGCACAGAATGAATGTTATTTCAGTCCTGTACTAAACAAGTAACAAATCAACTTCCATGTCTTACGCATGAGCCATCTTTCTTTCAGGTCATAATTACCTAAAGCAAACCTTTTTACATGCTCATCAAGATCGTAAAAACTGCAGTGAGAATATCCTACATATAAATACTTTTCCTCAACAAAAATAAGTTCTGATCTTTGCAATACTGTACAGTATACAAGTGCTTTCTTCATGCTGAATGCAAGACCAGAAAAAGGAACGCTTATGTGCATGAAGACTCAATATTGATCCCAAAATGGTTTGAATATACAAGGATAGCGACTAAATTTGAAACATAAGGAATGAAAAATTCTCATTCGGGTTGTGGCGGTGAAAAGGTTTTGAGCAATTCCTTATTGCCTCGGCTAAAAATTCGTTAGCCATAATAAAGCATTGCTTGATGAATAATACAGTGCAGATCATAGTGTTCTTAGCATTGTAAAAATAACTGTACTGTACTCATTAAGATAAGATGCATGTAAATTTCCTTTCAGTTCTTTTTAGAAGTTCAAGCGACGGACTGAGTCGAATGCTCGCTCTCCTGCACCCAAACATTATTCAAGTTCTTTTGAGGATTGCAAGTCTTCCAAGAAAATGTACAAGTTAATAGAGTACTTGTATTAGCCAAGGTACCACAGTGCTTCTCTCAGCATTAGCCGACCCTGCGTGTCATTTCTCGGTAATATCGGCGGGGGTTTCCATCCTTCATTGGGGAAAAATCCGAGGTATTTCTCCAAATTAAACAAGAAGCTGCATCAAAAGATTCAAGGCTTCTGATGGAGCTCACAACGCCTTTTGGCCACAGCTCACTACATCTATGCTACAGAACCGTGATGGATGATTTTTAAACGTCAAATCAAAATCCCATGTCCTGCTGCAACACCCAAATTCGTCACAGGACGAAAACTGCAGACTTCGCCACTGTGAGAATGTCTCGTCCCAGTTCCAGGTCGTTTGCAACGCCAGTACTTCAATTGAGCATCGTTTCTGCATATCTACCAGTTGATACTCTGCAACTAGTGAACGTGACTGTAAAATGGCTTCTCTGGTAAGATTTACTTCTATGCTGAGCTTTGTAATAAGTGAAATATCAATTACTGACGGATTTATATCTGCTTTGAAAATCGAAGTCCTGGTATCAACTCTGCGCATTGCGAATTTTCGTACGTGACTGCCGCAGTCGGACTTACATCATATTCAATTGCAACTCTTACGACACTTCTTCGTGGATAAGAACACCTGTCGCCATTATTTCACCGAACTCGACATATTTTATTTGACGGCGATGAGAACGACATAATTTACTTACATTCCATTGCGCGGCTGAATTATACGCCTCGGACAATTATTTTAGACGAATATGCGGAAGTATTTCCGATTCATAAAAGAATACGCTCGAAAGTGGAACGATCCAGAAATTTTTCAAACCGTAACGTTTGGGTGGCGCTACAAGACATGTCACGAGGGAAAACTCGTGAAATAATATTCTCATGAAATAATTTCCCCAACAAGAATGAAATGATCTCAATAAAACTTTATTTCAGTGACGGTTCTTTCTTACAGTATTCTTCGGACACATAACTATCAAGTTTGTTTTAATAATTAATAGTCTATTACACTATACACACAGCAAGGAATGGATTTCACGAAGAAGAACGGAACTCGGCCAGCGTACAATAGTTCAGGGAGAAAGCGTATCAGCCAAATAATTTCCTATCGAATCACGAGTTTTCACGTTCCAGTAGGAAGCGAACAAAAAAAAAAAAAAAAAAAAAAATCCGCATCAAGCCATACTCCAACATCCCCATAACTTCAAGAGATTTTCTCCCAAGCAGTCAAAATAGGTTGCTCGGGTGCGCGGGAAAGCATTCGAACGGGAAGCTGACAAAAACCTCGCGAGAACAACGGCATGCTCCCAACACGACACCACACGCCACGAAAAACGTTCAAATGCGTGTCACCAACCGCGGGGAAATCATCGAAAGAAAAAACACAGAAGCCTTGATACGCAGGCAGCACACGTGTCCCCATTCAACAAGTCTTAATCGTTTACCACAAGCCTCTTTGGTAAAACATTTCTTCAATATCCCGCGCTTCCGCCTGAATGGGGTGCCGATGCGTTGACGAATGGACTAACTTTTTCGTGATAAGGCACGGAGTTCGCGTGAGAAGAAACTTGAAGAGCGAACCAATTCATTTCTTACGAAATCCCGGAGCGATCACGGGACACGCCCTGGCGCAGAACGCAACACCAAAAATCTCAATTTTCAGGATCCGCATAATACACAACCACCACTAGCGTGATCGGCAACCTAATTGAAGGGAGAACCATTTTACACACCGCAACGCAACCCCTTCCCACGGCCAAGCGTTGACATCGCTCACAGGCGCAGTATCCTCGTGAACTAAAACAATTCTTTCGAAAAAAAAACACTAAACCCCACGACCAAAGCAGAAACGAGAGGATCACAGTTTAACATGTCGAATGCATCGCCTATTGCCTCACCGATTACGACCGTACAGATAGCGTGTCTAAGAGAGAGTGAGTATTTCGGTTGAATCATCAAATAAATAATCAACAGGGTTCACTTTCGAGACCAAACCCACAGATACAAAAATTTGCTTCAGAAAAAGTGCACGTCCCGACATTTCGCATAATCGTGACACCCAAATTCCGACTTTGCTCATCTCGTTGCCCAAAAAACTTCCGTGTTCACGAACGTCAACATCGCCGCACTTCTGCACCGAAGTCATCCACATCTTGGAATATTGTTCAAGCAGCTGCTAAGGCCGAATACTCAACGATGCCGCGATTCGAACGCACTCAAGACGTTGTCGATATCGCAAGGACTACAAAGCCATTCAGTCGCATTTGCACCCGAAGTCAAAATAGCAAGGAGCTGTGTTGGAAGGAGTTCGAAACATTGGAGATTCTTGCTCCATGCTACTACTGAGCGCCGGGGTGGATCAGCGCAACGATTTCGTATCTGGTGGAACTAAAGCGAGCACAGCGCTTCTCCGATCCAAACGGAAGGCAGCGTTTGGAAAGAATATCAAAACTAAGGCGCTCGCCGTTTCTCGACAGTGCTTCCGATTCTCGCTTGCTCTCTCGTGCAAGGTGTGAGCCTGCATTGGTCAAAGCATCGCTTACTTCATGTTCATTCCAACTGCTGGTGAATACTCATGATTTGTCCACACGTTCAAGTTTCTGCGCTTCTCAGATACGTGCTTTGAAATAGTTGTAAAGACTAGATGATATCCGTTCATTTCACGATGCAACAGAGACGAAAGGATCTTCCACACACGAATCAGATTACTTCAGTTGTCTATAAAATCCGAAGATTTCAAAATTGTAAACACATGAGCAAGGTGATAGTCGATCTAACAAAACCTCAAGAACAAAAGATTGTAACTTCTTAAAATCTTCGCTTTCGAAGATTACTATGTTCGTACAAAATGGGTGCATCCGTCAACACAGAGATCATCAAGGAAAACTTTCACGATTACCCATACTAAAATTCAGACTGCGGTCAAACTTCGAATTATCACGAATTTTCGTTTGACGGATAATTCAGAATCAAACTAACGTCGAAATCGACCGATTTCCAAACTCACGAATTGGCAGTTGAAAAAAATAGGATCAGGAAAATTCTGAAAGCTTCATTAACGTTTACAACGGGAGGAGATTGCTCGGAGAATCCAGAACATGTCGGAGCACGATACTGTAAACCAGCGCTGGCAGTGTATCGGTTTGGTCGAATGTGCGACAAGTCGCACTCGACTGCGTATCTTGCCAGAAATCTCCCACCTTTCAGCAATATCAAGCACGCGCTGCAAATCTCGCGAAAAATTCATGAATCGAATTTAGACGAACGTTTGGAGAGTCCATAAAAAATTTCCGTCGAGGTTATTCAACAAAAGTCGCGAAATTTGTGAACCATGGGATACAACCGGGGACCTAAGGTGAGACACTTGTCATGCAGAACACGAGGGACAGAGCAGTTCTGGGAAAGACGTCGCAACCCTGGAGCAGCGGCAAGTTTGCGATGCATTCCTAACCGTCTAGGATCCGTTTCAATCAAGCAGTAGCCACCTTGAACCGCTTTTCCAGCTTTAGCCGTTTGCTGGTACGTCAGTCACCGGCAATGTCGGCTTCTTCTGCGGGAACTAAGTGGCCTGCCATACGTCACAGTTTCAGTTCATTGGCGATCTTGGAAGCGATGTTCTTGAAGCCAATTGATGTGCCGGAAATTCGTTTGAAGCGGACTCCATTGAGCGAAAGCCGAGGCAACTTGCAAACCTCTATCTCCCACTGCACCAGAGAGTCCGAGTTGGGATCACCGTGCACGCAAAGCAGCAAGAACTTCTCCCTCTGCTCATAATCGCAATTGTTCGCATCTAACACCTGCAATGCCAAACTCGTTTTTAGTTGACATTTCGCGGGTCTTCGGGCAAGTTTATTGTCAAGAGCAGATGCTCGAAAGATGAATTTGTCTAGTGCACTGAACCAAAAAACGCAAATCTGAAAATTCTCAGGGTACAAAATAAAATTGTTGAGTAAAATCTAGGAAATGAAAGCAGCCGAAGCTGCCACTATGCCGAGGAAATTTTTTCGCGAATTTTTAATTTCGGAACGTCCGCATCACTTGAAAATCAGGAAAACGCAACTCACGGCTTCGGGGACGACTTCACGCTCACCTTTCTTATTTCAGCCATGATTTCATTCGGATCACGGGAAGAGGTTGTTTTCATGCTCCACGTAAACCTCAACGACCTAGGCTTAACGCCCTCTTCGCTGTTCACCGACACCGGAGTTCCAGCGTTGAAGTAGCCAGTACTGTGGAGGAAACAAAACGCGCTTGAGTACCTGGCACGTTTTGAGTTCTAGCGACAAAAACTTCCTGAAATGACGGTTATTAATAGAAAACAATGAGTTATTGTTATCTCGGATATTATGAGGCTAACTACGACGACAACCCAAGTATAATTTTTTTTAGGAAGGACTCGAGGAGAAAAAGCACGGGAATGAGAGAAGAATCTTCAAAAATAATATTTCAAAGATGCAGGGAAAATGCGTGAATCAATCCCTTGAGCGATATGGGTGAACTTACATTTTCTTCGGCGTGGTTTCCATTGGCCTGGAATATAAACCCAACAAAAAGAAAATTGCGCAAGATGAGTGCGTGTGCAAAAAAAGGGTCACAACTTTTAAACCACCACCATGACCAACAAGCGTAACAATGGGATCACACTACCCCCATAAAGCATACCGAGACCACGGAACAACTCCAAAATACCGCCCATGAATTCAAAAGGGAATACCAGTACGATGCGTTCGCATCTATTTTTGTCAATGATCACGAACTAACCGGGTCTTGCTGACTTCCTCTGACTTGATGACATCTTGTCCATTACTAAAAGGGACAAGAAGTTTTGTAAGTCCAAGAGCCCGACAAAAACGAGTGCGAACGCATCAGAGCCTCCGACTGCAGACGAAGAGGCACCACGTTCATCACTACATACCGTTTTGCGAAGCGGGATAGCCGAGAGAAGAAAGACGTTCCACGAGAGCCATGGATCATGCTTCCTCCTTGCGAAAACGGCCCTTCTGGTTGCATGATGACGTTACCCACGTAGCCCCCGCCGACCCGAGCCCGTGTTTGTCCGGAGTGAAACGTGCTCCTGCTCGGAACTCCTCTCGGAAAAGCTGTGCGTGATGCCATATTCGCACTTCCACCAGGCGATATTGCAGTCCTGGCCGAGCTGTGTTGGGAAGCAAGACGATCATCTCTCGCTCAATCAATCAAACTATGACAACAAAGTAATAACTAAATATACATTACGTCACCAACGAAGTGTGTCCAAAAAAGTCCACGGAAACAAGAAAATTCGACATGCACTCCAGAAGATGGAAATATTACCAAGCGAAAGCAGCTGGGCGACGTTCAAGCAAAAATTAAAATTATTTTAAAGGCGGAAGATAATGCAGAACGACAATAAAAAGTTAAAATAAAGCACAACTATTCCGTAGGAAACTGAAACGCAGACAAGCGTGCAATCGGAGATGAATCCATCGGGAATACGGATCATGCAGGGAAACGACGAACAAGCTTACTCAAAGCTCTTCAAAAGAAATGGGACGAGTTTGTTAACGGAAAATTTTTTTTTGAAGTGCGACTGGCAGATTTCCCCTTCGTACAAACAACTCAAACTCGCAAACCTTACGCATGTTGTTCCATTTCCGCGGAGATTTACATCGTCGAATAGCTTTTAGTAAAGGGAAATCTGGCCTCTTGAGACAGTAGATATTTGGACATACGCCGGAATCGTTTTTTTTTTTCAATTTTCCCAACTTCAAATAATGTAGCATGAATTTTACACACTTCGACGCATATGGTAAAAGCAAGCCTTCCGGACAAGCTTTCGGGAAAATCCGTAGCTCTCTCTTAGGATTCACAATGTGATGTGCATCAGTCCCGATGATCTTCTCAAGGCTCCCCTACATCATCATCGATTGCTACCTTCCTTGCCAACAATTCTCATTTTAAGACGTCATTGGATTGGCTCCATCTTTCAAACGTCTACTGTACCGTTGAAAATTCCCTTCATGAGGCCTGGGATGTGAAAACAATGGAGCCAATGGGTCAGAATTTAAGGACTTGAAGAAAAATATGCACCAGATGCAGACTGCACAATTCACGGGGATAACCATACTGTACTCCCGAGAAAGGTGATTATGCGCATAATGGAACAACCGTCGTGCACACAGAATATTACAATCGGAAAATGAAGTGCCCTTCTATCTTCTATTAACCTTTAATCATTCGTGAACATTTTTTAAGCATGGAACTTCGTTGAGAACAGGTTGACACTCAAAATTAACACTCATTTCATAATACTACATTCAAATGGATGGAAGACACGATTGAGAGCCGGAAGAGCTAACAAATATTTTATAGGCGAGACCGGGAATGCTCCTTTCACGCGTTTTGCAGGGCACAACTTTGAACGTACTGATCATACAGGTTAATTCCTCTTACAATGCGTAGACGCTCGAAAAAATACGAAGGAGTCAGCAAACTCGAACATGCAATAATCAGATCATGAACCGAGGAGGGGGGCGATACTCGGAACCAAAAGGAGACGTGGATAATGGAAACACTGTACTACCTCGGCCTAGCGACAGTATCCGCTGGGAGGGATTCGTGCGCTTGCACAGTGGCGGCAGACGAGGAAGCGGTGGCAGCGGTCGCGGAAGTGTTCACTGGTGTAGTGGCACCGCTTTCAGCTCGTCCACCACCGGCGGATATGGAAGCTGACTTGACGTGACCCTTGGAGGGCCTCAAGTGACTCCCGCTTGAACCAGCAGTTCCACCCGACTTCTCTCGTTCACCACCACTGGCGGGCGCGCTCCCATTGCCGGATCCCGATCCACCTCCTTCCCTCGGCCCCGAAGCAGCATTTTTCAGCCAGCGTGGAAAGATTTTTAAAGCAGAATAACGCAACAACTCTTGCCTTCGCCAAGTCAGCACACGCAAGCTTTTCCATCACCAAGTATTCTTACTGCGAGAATCACATAAAAGCTTACTGAGTCTCCGAAGATGACTCCAGAAGAGTCGGTTTTATTTCTGGATTCAGTGAAGACGGGCCCGACGATTTCGGTTCAAACGTTGAGCGCCTGGCAGCGTGTGGACCGCACAAGAGGGTGCTCGGTCCGATGGTTCGGTTTCCAGTCATGGTCGAGGACTTCGGGATCCTTGCCTTCGGACTAGCGGTGTTCACCATCGCACCAGCTGGAACGTTGCCTGCGAAAACAGAACTCGCAATCTTACATATATCTGACCAATAGGTTACACAACCTCTTCATTAAATTCCCTTTTTTATTCTCCAAAATCCTCAAGATTAAACGGAATGCTTTTCTTGGACAGAATATTACCTCACGACCACTCCGCAGGTTCCAATTTTCAAAGAAAATTGTGGCACTTGCAAGTAACTGGGAAAAACGAAAATTATACACCGCTCGAAAAGGACAAAAAATCTCGGCAAGTACAATACAGGATTCAGTGCGCCTTAAGAGCTGAATTCACCCTAGCGAAAACGGCTTAATCTGCGATCAGCATTGAAATATCATGCTCGACAACGATGAAAACATGCGCCACAGGCATTTTGTAAAACGGATTCTGAAGTGGCGGAAAGCCAACATTTAAACGATACAGCAAAATTCGCGATCCGTTTGGCACTTCAAGCAAAGCTAGCTATAACATCGCAAGCACTTTCGTTTCTAACGAGCTACACAGAAGCGCGTTTTCCTTCTCGACTGGAATTGCGTCAGGTATTTTTCGATAATTCGAATTCTCTTGTCTCACAAAGGAAAAAACTTGCGACGAGGTACCTATCTGGCTTGTTGGAGAGAGTGGAATCGTGGTTTGATTCTTCAGTGGTGGCCGGGCGTTCGAGAGACGCAAACTACCCACGCCGTCGACAATGGGCAATTGAGTGTTTCCTGTGGTAGCAGACTTAACTCGCCCTGGCTCTTTCTCCTTGAGCGCGCGCGTGCCTTCCGCGTTCACGGATGCTGCACCTCCTGACGCCATCCCCGTCGTTCCTGTTTTTCGTTGAACAGTGAATTTTCTAGTACTACACAAAATCTCGACTCAAGTGTCCGGAATTTGCAGAAGGGAAAGATGAAGTGGTAAAATATTGCGTCGGGCATCAGATGGCCGACATGTATCAAGGATTTCAGAGATGGCATGGACACGTTCGTTCTTCCCCAGTCCAGCTCGTTAATATCGCCACCACACTGAGCCAGCCGTAGGTTATTTGAAACTAAAAGATCGAGTTTTAGTCCGTTCAGATACCCAATATATCGATGTTAAAAATAATCCGAAACGGGTGATAAGTCTAAAATGAGGTGTGAAGAAATGCTTCGAATTAGTGCTACTGCAAAAAGATCCCATTCACGTCCTTCTTACTCCCTTCACTTATTTCAACTAAGCCACAACGCGGAAAAAACGGCAACAAAAAAACTACTGCAAAAAACGGTAGCGGCAAGACAGACTAAAGAAGCACAGCCAATTCGATCCAAACAAGTGGCAACGAATCGTGCAAGAAGGACAATTCCAATGCTTTGTTACGTACGTAGACGTACACGATCGGCTCGAAGAAGACAGTCAACAGAATAAGCAATGGATTGAAATCCGATGCCAGGGTCAGAAACCCATGCCTACACCGGAACCATGCCAACGGAAGGTACGCCACAGCCAGCAGACTGACCGTGATTCTTTTCAAGTTAGACAGCACGAAGAACCGAACAACTACAACAGTTTTCTCTTCGAAATCCACTCATAATGGTCGTAAATTCGATTTTATCGGTTTCAAAATTGAAACCAGATAAGCAGATGACTGCTTCCTCCACAGAAAATATAAGTTTCAGTGAACAACTTAAATGACTTGCGTCCGAATTCAAAGCAAATGTTATTCTACGAACAAGTGATCCGTAAATCATCGTAAGTGGGCTGCAAGGTCCGTAGTGTGCCTCTTGTAGAAACATTTCAATTAACGAGCAACCAATGAGGAATCGCACAGAGCCAATACGTTGTGAGTACCACCCCGGAAAGAGTACAGTGAAGGGAAGGAATAAAACAGTGAAGTACGTACTAAGAACATGCTCCCCGGCAGCTGAGGCCCGACGGTCGCGAGCCTTAGGCTGAGTAGCGGATATGGACCGCTGGACTCGGGAATGCGGGTGAGAAGAGTGGGAATGGGAGTGGGAAGGAGAAGATGTACCTCCGGCGGAAACGGAGCCGGTGCCGGCGGTTGCAGATGCAGTAACCGCTGCTGCGGCGGCCACGGCTGCCGCCGACGAGCCGGCTGACGGGTTTCCGGACGCTAGGGCTCGCAAAGACAGCGACGATCCAGACCGGGAGTCGTTGCTCTCCAAATCGGACGACCGCCGCGCCAGGAGGAGGTAGGTGGCGTAGACGTCGTCGAATTTACTGTTCCGCAGGCTGTCCTCGACATCATGCCGCGAATAGCCCATTCCAGTCAATATTTCTGTAACAGCCATATGGTCTGTTTCCTCATTATTAAGCGTGCCCTCAGCATATTTATTCAATATATCCAACTCACCAATGCGCTTTGGATCGCCGAGATCAGTCTCCGGTTCCGTGAACGGCCGGAGCTCGTCCTCTTCGTAACCAATGTTCATCCACCTGTCTTTCATGATGGTCTGCAAAGGAAGTATGAAACACGATTTATCGACGGTCTTCCAATCACTAATGACGTCCGGGTTCACCTCCAGGGATGCTCGTTTCAAGGGATTGAGAACGAGGAACTTCTTGAGCAGATTCTCGCAATCAGTTGACATGTAGAACGGAATCCGGTACTTTCCCCGCAGAACACGCTCCCTCAGTTCCTTCAAGTTGGCACCATCAAACGGAAGGCTCCCACTAACTAGCGTGTACAATATCACACCGAGGCTCCATACGTCGACTTCTGGCCCATCGTACTTCTTGCCTGAAAACCCAATAATTTTAGTCAATCTTTCACGCTGGACCACTACAGAAACGATGTTTACCTTGGAAAAGCTCTGGGGCCGCGTAAGGGGGACTTCCACAGAAAGTATCCAACTTATTTCCGGGCGTAAACTCATTGCTGAATCCAAAATCTGCTATTTTAATATTCATCTCGCTGTCTAAAAGAAGATTCTCCGCCTGGAAAAGCATTCCAAATATCAATACAAATTGCCGACTCGAACAGAATAATAGGCTCATACCTTTAGGTCCCTATGAATGATCTTCTTTTGATGACAGTATTGCACCGCTGAAACAATCTTTAATGGAAACAAATAGGTCAACCACCGCTCATCAAAAGCATGAAAATTTGACTTACTTGTCTGAACTTGGCTCTCGCCTCCTTTTCTTTCATCCGCCCATGAAACACAAGGTAATCAAAAACCTCACCGCCACTCGCATATTCCATCACCAAGTATAATGTCTTTTCCGTTTCAATAACTTGGAAGAGTTTCACTGTAAGAAGAGCGAAGAACGCTGTGAACTCCAGAGAGAGCCTCGAGGTCATAATTTTCTGGGAATTTTGACGAATAGTAATACCACTGTCTTCCAGTAGAAATTATGCGGAGGACACTTTATTCGTTCGGTACTCGGAATGGTCCACGACCCAGAATCTTTAAATCCAAGGACTGTGGCCGGTAGTACAGTACCTCTCAAAATAATCAGAGTACAATACTGTACAAGAGACGGGATTAAACGTCGGAGGTGAGAAGAATTGTTGGCTTTCGATCTTGAAAGCAAACTTTCTATCAAAAGAAGACATCGTGATGCAGTATTCATTTTGCATTAGTTTAAGACGTTCAACCTATCATTATATCCACTTCGTAGGGAGACTTGCGCGAAAACGTAATTTATCCATATTAGGCAGGGAATTTATTTAATTAATGGATCAAACTATGGCCTCCGTTAGAAACATCAATGAACGGGCGAAGAGACGATGACATTCTGCTCTTGACGGTCTACTCACCGATATTTGGATGATCCAAAATTTTCATAATTCTCACTTCCCGGAACAGCTGGAAAGAAATAAAACTCTCAACACCGATGAAAAACTCCTGAATCTTCAGCATATTTTACCTTCTGTAAACTGTTGGGGTTGAGCTGGGTTTTGTCGATAATTTTGATCGCAACCTACGGGAACAGGAAATTCATTTATCACGCGAGACGAAAAAGAGAAAATAATTCCTTATAGTACCTCTTTTCCAGTGGGAACATGCTTCGCTAACTTCACCTTGGCAAAGTTGCCTTTGCCTATCGTCTTGAGTAATTTGTACTTGCCGACGACGGGCTCCTCGCCGCGACGCGATGAAACTCGCGTCGATGACGACGACGAGACGCCGCCAACGACGCGTTCACGCTCGATGCCCGAGCTTGTGCGCTCGCTTGCTCCGCTGCTACGCTCGTTTCCCCCACGGGTCGTACCTCCATCGCCGTCAACCTTCAAAAGCACAAGTGGAAAAATGGTTAAAGCCCATGATCTTGGCTGATTCGATTATCAGTCGAGAAAATTCCTTCCGCATCAGATAGGAATGAGGTGCGAGAGCCAGTCATGCAGTATTCGACGTCAGACTTGCACAACCCTTGAGTAACTCCTAATTTCAGCTAATATAGAGCAGTTGAATACTCCTTAGTACTCGTGATATGTACTTCGCCAAGTTCCACACCTGCACATGATCGTTCTCCCCGCCTAGAGAAAAACGAATTTACGTTGATGCACCTGCATGTCACGTTATTCCTGACTTCTCCACAATTATCTTCGCGCCTATGTGCTGATTGGTGTACAACAGTATTAATTATGTTTGAGACAAAGCCAGCGGAAAACTCAGTCCGGACCCAGCAACCTGGACGACTTGATCTTGACGATTCTCGACGTTTTACCCTACATATTTGAATCGAGAAATCGCTGGTCTGAAAAAAGTGCTTTTGTACTTGGACGCAAAAAATGTAAGAGCTTCCCTTTTTCACGCGCTATTGAGTTCCCCGACTAGATAGATAAACCTTCCTTAAGACACGAGGGAAACAGAAAAGTAGATCTCGTGAGACGCTGAGCCTGCCCCCGCTACCTACGACGTTGTTTAGGCCAACATCTCGACAGCTTGATCTTGTACACAAATGTATTTGACCTTTCGTAAACGGGACAAAGCAGATGGGCTGAAGTCGTTCAGGAGTACCCCAGAAGCGGCAGGTAAGAATGCTCGGATTTAGGCGCGACAAAAATGTTCAGCAACGCTCCCGTCACCCCCACCAACAACGCAATCTGTCAATATAGACTGAATTACCGTCAGAGTGACAATGACAGTCGCTATATAATATTCGTAAATTAGAGATCAACGAAGCACTTTTCATCACATCGCAGAAATAAATTCTTTTAAACTAAAGACAAATTTCGTAAATACGGTACTCTAGAAATCTAGAACAATTGAACGGCCAGAAACTACTGTATATTCGCACTGTATATTGCAGCCGGCACGGGACGGGAAACTTCTCTCCGTCACGGATGAGATTGACTTTACTCCCAAAAGATCGTACAGAAGAATTTTTCAAAAAATGCGCCTTAATCAAAAATGAACAAGAGTAGAACTCCAGTGCGCGGGACTTGGGTGTAAATTGTCTTGTTCAGATTTCTTGGACGAAATGGCGAGTAAGTTAAGAGTTGAACTACACTCATCACTTCATTCCCACATGTTCTCAACACCCATGATAATACCCTCCGAGATTTGCGGGGATGTCGGTAATACCCTGTTACGTCATGCCCATCTAGAAAATGATGTTATTCGTCAATTGAATAAATTTTATTCATCAAATGAAGTAATTTGTCGTCAAAATTCAGCAATCCGGGTTAACGCACCAGGCAATCAAGCCCAGTTAATCTGGACTTTCACTTCACCAAAACGATCGTCAGTACATTCTAAACGAGATTATTTCCCACAAAACCACGTGAAGTAAAAAAAAAAAAAAAAGAAACAGTTTAGCGAGAACATTTCAACAGGAGGCTTTCTGGATTCAAATCTCTGACCGATGAAAAAACCTACGTAATCCGGAACATTCGATAAGGAAATGCGGAAACATGTGGAAAATTCGATATTCGTGACGGCCTTCAAAACGTCAGCATCGCTACTGACATCAATCCTAAATTTCCACGCGACGTGACAAGGGATATAGGAATGAAACTCCGAACAGTTTCCCATGTTAACTCTTCGGCACTGCGATTATTCAGCAGCCCAATATCGAGGGCTACGAATACACTTCCGTAGATTGAATTTCGCGTGGAGGCACGAGCCGCCTACGTCTTGCTTCCAAAATTCGTCCCTCGTTACATATTGACGCCGGCTGGCAACGGATTGTCGCTCAAACTCAAGGAAATGAAGTAACGCTCCCACCTTGCAATTAAATGAAATACACGGGGTACTGCAGATGAGTACTATATTCAGCTAATGTCCAGAAATATTCGGCTAATGACTAGGCGCATTAGCCAGATTAATCAAAGAAACAAATATTTTTTAATGCATCTGAATACTGTACATGAAACATTTGACGATGAAATGATTTCGTAGAATATGACAGAAAATCTGGAAAAATTTTCCTCGGATAATTACGGTACTTCATCGGAGGAGAAAGTGAGTCGAATTAAAAATTACGTACAGCACCTCGTTTCTCTTCAGTAAATCGAAATCTGGGCACAGTTAATCGAAGCCCGGAGTTGTGTCCTAAAGCAAATTGATGATTCAAAACTTCAAAAGTCACCTCTCGAATCAGTTCCTCGTCAAACAAACAGCATGAGAACTTATTTACAGTCTTCGACAGAACTTCCTGCCGACGCTTGGAAGTTGACGAACAAACTTTCTGCGCAAGCATGCGAGCTTGAACGTCAAACGCGTGAGAAACTCGAGGACGTCTGCGTCGGTCAAATACTGCACAGTATAAAAGGCAAACCAGAGTAAACCAAGAACCAAAAGGAAAACCATGTTTCTTCGGAATTCACGCGGCAGCAGTCGCTAGCCACGCGTCGACTTCGGACACGAACAAACCGACCGCATTCTGTTTCAAGAGTAGAAACGCCCAGGTTCCGCGTACCTATGAACGCATATCGCGGCGCACCTACGCGGAATTTCGTCCATAAACGGTTAAAACCTCACAACTCGGATACCCTGGTAGATCCCGACCTGTGATCCTGAATAATGTCCAGTCAGGCGTTCGCAATATTCCCTCGTCGTCATCTTGCGACCTCTACGAACGACTCGATCCCGTCACGGCCTTTTAGTGCCGCCCGAGAGCCCAACCTCATCTCGAAGGATCAAGCTGTCGCTAAAAATAAGGTCGCGAGGCGTGAAATCGAATACGCAGTTCGGGAGTCCCGCATAAATATCAGCAGGTCCCACAGTCCGACAAGCCATCGCAGTCCTTATGTCGCGGATGACTGTAGAAAGATACTCACATCTGGAATAGCAACACAACCCCTAACCCGCTTGGAAACTGTGGCGGGCTGCTGGACCGCCGGTCTGCTTGGCGTCGCCTGTCGTAACGAAGTGTGCCGAGACACTTTCCGGGCCAGAGGTAGTTTCGCCTCGTGCGCCCGAGAAACGCCACTTTCGCCATTCGAGGTGCTGGGCGTCGACGGTTTCACCGGCGGCTCGACCTCGTCGGAAGCAGTAACGTCATTAAAGCCACACCGTGCACAGCGCCCACCAGATTTGTCTGCCCGTGAAGAGCCACACCATGCGCAGCCCACTTCAATGACATGGGCGCCGTTCGGCGCCTTCGGGACAGAAGTGCGGCGGTCCGTAACTGCCGTCGTTCGCGGCAAAGACCGCTTCCGTTTGGGTATCAGCGCATGCAGCATCGCGTTAACCTCCGCTTCGCAGCGTGTCGTAGGCTCGACGGGTGTTATCCCAGGGGCCACACGTACGTCACCAAGACGGCCGGCGCAATACGGCTCGGGGCGTGTGGGCGACGGCACGACGTCGTCGCGGCGACGAGCGCCGCCACGATCTGTAGACGGACGAGTGTATTTTTGCACAGCCTTCATCAACCACATTCGTTCACCTCGACTGCCTTTAAGTGCTCGCAGAGACCGCAGCAATCTGTTGTCCCGTCTAGACGTCTGACGCGCTTCTGATGACACTACCGGCTCGTCAAGCAATTCGGATCCTTCGTCTCCCTTGCCTTCACTCACGCCTTCGGTATGCTCCCCCTCCTCGCGCTTCCGATGCTTCACGAGATGAAAAAACGACGTCACGTACTTCTTCATACCAGAGCACACAGGCACATATCCGCCGCGCCGATTGATCGGCCCGATCTTTATCACTCGCTTTCGTTGTTTCGCGAGACAAGGTCACCATGTGCGATATGCCTACGAAACAGGAGCAGCCGCGAGAACATTTCAACAGTCTCGTTCGCGACTACATGCGATAGCAGCGACACACACGTCCACTGACGAGTTCAAATGCGCCCGAGCATCTCGAGGAATACGCGAATCCCACGCGCACGATTATGCGGGCCAAAAATGGCTGCGCTCAGACCATCGGTTGCTACAGATCGTTCAATAAAATACGCGATGATTTTATCCACTTGACAAGCAATACACTCAACGATTATCAGTCATGACATGAATAACAGAGCTGGAAGCGCACTACTTAGCACGCATTTTCCTTGCGACTGATATCAAACTGACAACTGTATGACTCATGAAGAGTGATCATTCTGATTAAATAATGTCGGTCTCGAAACTCAACGCAATCAATTGAGTAGTACTCTGAAAGCGATCACTCGAAGGTAATTTTCAAAAGAAATAACACATCACCTGACTGATTCCCGTGCGTCAGCGATTCTCGGAATAGGCAAATAATTATTCAATCGACAGATTAAATGTCCTTTCTGAGGACGGATACTTCATAGGACTACAATCGTACAGAATAGACTACTGGGAAAAAATCCCTTCAGCCAGCAAGCAGGCTTTACCGATAATGCGACACGAATTCCGCTCCTACTCGTACGACTGTGATAGCAACGCGAGATACCAACGCGTGGATAAACCACTCGGGAGATAAGGTGGTCTTTTCAGATCTCAAATGAAAACGTAATTGAGTCATGAAAATCTGTATAAATTACTATAAATGGCAGAAAAACACGCGAAGCGCAATACACTCATCGCAAGAAATGATGAAATAAACGTCCTTAACTCCACATCCACTCGAAAAATGTTCACAACTGTTCAATTCGCCATGTGGAGACCCTAAAATGTTCCACGCGTATACTGGTGCAATAAAAATCACCGATTTATCCCAGCCTTGCAAAGTCTCCAGTGAACCAAAGTCAAGCTCTTCATTAGATTAAGTATTGCTGGTGTATGGCCCTTACGTAAATGAACGGTTAAACATAAACTCGGCACAAATTCAAGAGAAAAAAATTCGGAAATTTAGTCAGACCACATCACGCGAA